TTCTATATGACCTTTCCGTATTCTACTATGAGGCGATGCCTCGTGGATCTCCACCTCTAGGAACCGTATTATCCTCTCGAGCTCCTCAATCCTGACGAACAAGGCTGATCCTTACCAGTCGTAGTGATGCTGTTATCACCTTTGTATATACTTCCGATAATTCCTATGCATACTAGCACTATTCATGTCCTCAAATTCTATTCGTGTCTGACGAAGAAAAGGAGAAGAGCTCATCAACTCAGTGTGGAGGCTCCTAGACCTTACAGAGTAGCCGATGACGTCTACGAACTCCCGGGCCCGATCGACAGGGAGGACCAGGGTCCCATGCTTCATGGTCTCGCTTCGAAGGAGGCCCATGAGTGAAGTAGATAACGCCACCAGAACTAACCAGAGAAGGGTCCAGAGACGACTCAGTGGGGCGCTAAGGTGGACTGGTAAGGGATTCTACAGAGGTATACGGCGACGAAAAGTGCGACCATCACGGTTCCAAAATGCGTCGGAGATTAATTGTGCGAAAAAACAACGTGGCCCGGATTCGAACCGACGACCTTTGAGATGATCAACTGTTGTGTGTGATTGCGTGACCTTTGGACACACCAACTTTGGACATAAAGTTGTCGAAAGCCCTTTGGACAGCAAGGGATGTCAAAACGAATCTCATGACTAAGTTCTGGACAGTTTGTCCAAAAACTACCCTAGGGAGTAGTTTGGACATGAAGTTGTCGAATATTTTTTTTTCATCAAGAAGTTGTCCAATTACGCCTGTAGCGACCTTTGGACAGCTTTCTGATCAATTGGACATGTTTGGACAATATTTAGTAATCTGGACTACAATGTGTCGGAATGTGGCACCGATTACCTTTGGACATCTGTCTCGAATGCGCTGTGCGCGTCAGCGCAAGGCACGGAGACCTGTTAACTCTTATGGTTGATTTGTCGCCTTGTTTTACGGTATTTACTGTACTTTTGTTACGGTATTTGCTGTCTGCTGTCTATTGTGCTAGCCTCGATGATTCGCGTCACAGATTTGTGCATGCGTGCGGTTCCCAGGGGTGCGTGAACCCTAGGGTTAGGCGTTTGTAGGCGTTCGCAACGACGTTCGTTTGCTTACGTTGGACCTGAGCCCAGGCTCAGAGTGATTTACTGTGATTTGAGGTATATCATTCGCTAGTGGCTAAGCTTCGTCTGAACGGTATCTTAGTCAGGGATTAGTTTACGGTATTGTATACGAGTTAGGCATTGTGTTTACTAGTCACGATGGTATTGACTCGTAGTGGCAAGAGTTCGAATAGAGTCGTTGATCATTCGGGTCAACGGAACCCAGTTGGGAACATTGTGAAGATTAAGGAACGTGCTTGTCGTACGGTTCGTTCTAGGATT